TTCTTACATTGCATCATGAACAAAAGGTTAGAGCAGCCATAGTTTGAGAGGGCACTAAGAAATTTGAGAGATGGATGGTTGGACTCAGGCCTGCATTGCAGTGTAGAGCCCCAGGTTGAGACCCACTGTTAACAATTCCTAACCTAGAGCTACCAATGAGAGTAGATGCTCAAAGCCTAGGTTAACAAGCTCAGAGGTTGCTAACCTGGATTTTACTAAGAGCTTACACTACAACGTAGATATACCCAAAAGAAGCCAATGCTACTCTCAATGACTTCAGTGGAAGCAAGATTGTGCCTTTACTTTTTCTTGTTCCTGGTGTACAGCTTTTCAGAGGATGTGGGCAAAGTGAAGAGTACCAAAACTACGTGTAGCTATAAAATTATGGATTTTATTTATTGATCTATTGTTTCTAAGGCTAAGGGACTCAAAATAAAATTAAGGGACTGAGAGGCTAAGACCAACACTCCTATTGTAGGTGCTACATGTGAGATCTGGGCAGAGACAAAAGAGGGAAAACCCCAAAATTCCTTTGTTTCAGTTTGAAATCCCTATCTGCATTTCTTTATTGGCTGACTGCTACCTGGCTAGGTACAGTTAACCCCTTAATCCCCAGGCTGCTGGCTAACCCTCATGGTTACAATGCTAGCCCTCATCAGTACAATGGTTTGTCTTTCCAATCAAAAGCTCAGATACCCCTTGCCTCCTGAATTCCACCCAGAATTAAAGTGGGTCTTGGGAAATCTGAGTATGAAGAAGAAAAATCAGAATAGTTTTTAACAGGAGAGGCAGAATATGCCCCAATGAAAGTATAAGTGGGAAACTCCCAATAGTGGAAACTTAGGGTATTTGCTTGTTTTTTTTAAAGAAGTGCTGAGACAGCCAGACTAGAAAGCTGAAATTTAACAGAATTGGCCCTCATCAAGGAGAAGTGCCTTTGAAAGTTCCAGTGACATTTGGTTTTGATTTAACTAAGTTATGAGCTTTGATGTGTGTGTGTGAGCTTTATTCAGAGCAAAGAGAGGCTGCTGCAGATCCCTCTCTCATTCTGCATACTTGGATGTACAGAGAAAATACATACCTAGAAAGTGTATATTCAACTCACAAAAGGGTAATGAACAGATGCAGACTTTATTAAAAAGTGTGCAATGAATATGAGAGGGATCCATAGGACTGTTTAGATCTAAATCAAATCTGGTCACTCAGTGCACATCAAGTTTCTGGATGGAGGATTTAGGAGCAGTGATGGGAGTGTGAACAGAGCTATAACTAGAAGTTTATTCCTAATACATATATTATGCGCTGGCAAAAGACCCCAAGAAGGACCATTTCTGATGGCACAAACAAAAGTATACATCTTGTCCCTGCTCTGAGGAGCGTACAACCTCAGGCCAGGTCTGCATTACTGACCTGTATCAGTATAACCAGGGCTTGACAAACGGCGGCAAAAGCCGCTTGCCAGCCCTGCACTGCGCATGCGCAAGAGCTGCATTGCGTGCGCCACCGGTAAACAGGGCACGCAGCCACGGGCGAGTAGATTCTATAGTTTGTCGAGCCCCGAGTATAACTACATTGTTCAAGAGTGAAAAATCCAGACCCTTGATTGATGCAGCTGTACTGACCCTAACATCCTGTGTAAACAATGTTACTACCTCCCAGGGAGGTGGATTATAACGGCACTGATGGAAGAAACTCTCCTTTTGGCATAGTAGTGTCTTTATTAAAGTGCTACAGCACTTCTGTAGGTGAAAACAAGCTCCAAGCCTGTAAAACTCTAAGATTCCGCTAACCCTAACTCATGTTGATTAATAATTTACTCTGTGATTAGCCCCACTGAAATCAGTAGGACAGTCTGTGGGGGAAGGTTCTATTAAGATAAAGTATCTGAGTAGCTGAATCTGGGACTAAGGTTGAATTGCCTGATTAATCAATTATGGTTTTAGTATACTGTTGAAATACTTATACATACATTTTTTGCTAACGGATAATAATTTTGTGACGTTTGAACAAGATAAAGTCTTCTGTTCCCTGAGTTTCAGTGGGACAGTAAAAATAAAAAGAAATAGGAGGTATTCAAAGAGAAATGGCCACTTTTCGTTATGCCGTTTTTTCTTTTTTTCCCCCACTCATCTTTTCCCTCTTCCTACTTTTCACAAATTGGTTCATCCTTCTTTTTAAGGTACACCACATTTGACAGTTGTGGTAGAAATGACTCTTCTACACTAAGCAGCCTCTTCAGTATCCAAAAATTAACATGTTTGATATTAACTGCTGTACTAATCATTCTTTGTTGTAAAGGAGGGCAGGCCATTCCACTGCTAGTAAGAGCTAGAACTTGATGTTTTGGGACTAGAGAGTAATTTGCAAAATGCCAAAAACTGACAGATTAAACACAGAAAATTGTATAATATTTTCTGTTTCATTGTGAGAATAGTAGATGCTTGCAGCTGCATGGAGCAAAATTAAAATTATGGTTGTTATTTGAGTTCAAGTTAGTGCTTTTGTTTGGAAATAAACATGGGCGGCGAGTAAAGGCACTACCTTCCCAAACCACCAGCCCGGCTCTACCCATACTCCACCCCCAGAACACATACTGTAGGCATACTGGGGCCGGGGAGGCTCTGGCCATGCACCTCCCCACCTCACTATGTTGGGAGGTGGGGCTTGGGCAGAAGGGACAGGGCCAGGGGCTTGCTTCTTCCAGCCCTATCTTCACCCACCAATCATGGGAATAAAGTTTCCTGGATTTCTAAAATGCTATGTCTCTACAACCATAACTCCATCTGAAAGATTTTTGCTTGGCAATTTCCCATGAATAGATTCAGTTCTGGAACCCAAAAAACTCTAAGGCTATGTCTACACGACAGGGTTTTTGTGCAAAAACCTGCGGAGCATACATACCTCAAGCGCGTTTTTGTGCAAGAAAATGTACAGTAAAATGGCAGAACAGAGGGCTTTTTGCGGTGTAGGTATATCTCTTTCTATGAGGAGTAACTTCTTTTTGCGCAAGAGTTTTTGCGTGGACGCTCCTCAGGGGTTTTTTGTGCAAAAAGAGCCTATCAGAAAAAGCATAGGTGCTCTGATGGCCATTCTGTGAATGGCCATCAGAACTTTCTTGTGCAAGAGCGTCCATGCAGTGTGGACGCTCTCTTGCACAAAAGCGCATCGCTTTTGCACAAGACGTTTTTGTGGAAGATCTCTTTTGCATAAAGCTTTTTGCACAAAAACCCTGCAGTGTAGACAGAGCCTAAGTGTGTTGGGTTGGAACCTCAGGGATGCCAACTAAGGTGCTTTGATACCACTGAGTCAGTCCACTCTGCCAGTCTGGGCCTCCCTTTAACGCTCTCCTGCTGAGCCAGGTACCAAAATCACCTCCAGCAAAGCACACAGGCAGGGCCATACACAGCTGTAGATCAGCTCCGGGAAGACTCAAATTTACTCTAGCACCCAGATTTTATTCACCCTCTTATTTGGGGTATAAACTCAACGCTGTATGAATTTTGCCTACTTCATCAATGCAAAAGAAGATATTCATAGCCTCCCCCCCCCCCCACTCTCCATTAAAAATTATATAAATTTATTTCTGGTTTATAATATAATCTAGTTTATTAACTATGAAATGGTGTATTTTAAGTGGCTAAACCAAACAAAGCAAATGACTAAGGAAATAATATAAAGCACACAATCTAAGATAGATTCACTAAAAAAAATTGGTTACAATAATTGCTCACCGTAGTTATTGTTTCAGGTAGTCCTTTACTGCTCAGGTAACTCTTAGCTTGGGTCCAGCAGTTCTCCCCATTACCCTCCTGTCAGTTATTATCCTTTAGTTTCCAAATATCTTTTCAGGATGAGGAGGCAGAGCTAAAGCAAACTGAAACCATGACTGTTTTTCCATCCACCTGATATAACATTTCCATATGGCAGGAATTCTTTGTTATATTCTAGTGGAAAAGTACAGCAACCTAAGATGCAAGTTGGTATCAGGTGCCTAGATCACCTGACTCCACTGTCCATGAGTCAGTAGCATCAGTCCACAGGAAGGCCACACCTGTTCAGTCCCTTGTTCTAGCTCAGGGGTCGGCAACCTTTTCAAACCAAAGAGCCAAACTACATCAAAATTCATAACAAGTGGTCAACAAAAAGCCGTATAAGAATGCCCATTTGAATGACTGAAAATATACAACTTAATATTATTGATAATTGACATGACGATTAATAATAGCATCAATGAAACATTGTACTCTGACTTTATTTAATGGGAGTTCCGCTGCATCTTTTTTCACATTTCTTTGAAGTTTACATCATAACTGGTCAAATTCAGGCTCATCACACATTCAAGCTAGATGAGTAATTAATCATTTTTTAAATTTTGAATTCATATTTCATTTTAATTTAAGAAGTTGCATGCATTTTGGGAATGACAAAAGAACCATATTTGGTTCCATACTGAGCCATAGCTTGCAGACCTCTCTAGCTGATAGGCCATCAGCTCTCTGTGGCTTTTCCAGTGTGGTCCCTGATGTGTCAGCAATCTGAGGCTATGTCTAGACTGCAGGCTTCTTTTGGAAGAAGCTTTTCCAAAAGAGATCTTCCGAAAAAACTTCTTCCGAAAGAAAGCATCCACACTGCAAAAGCACATTGAAAAAGCGATCTGCTTTCTTGAAAGATAGCATCCACATTGATTGGATGCTATCTTTCATTTAAACTGTGATTACTATAGGCAGAGTGGTCACCAGGGCACCTGTGCTCTTTCCTCTTTTTCCAAAATAACTCCCTCTTCCCGATCCACACACGTCTTTTTCCGAAAGAGCTCTTTTGGAAAAAGGCTTCTTCCTTGTAGAAGGAGGATTACCAATGCTGGGAAAACCCCTCTGTTTTTTCGATTTTCTTTCAAAAGAACGCGATTACAGTGTGGACATAATTGAAGTTTTTTCGGAAAAACAACTGTTTTCTGAAAAAACTCTGTAGTGTGGACATACGCTGAGTGACCCAAAGCAGCAAATATGAAATACAGATGTAACAGGTGAATATTCCTAACTTCAGATATGGAAATGATACATGCATATGAATGGGATAATCATACTCAGTAAATCACAATCTTTCCAATGATATTTTACATGAACCATTTTGCATATAGTATATGCTATGTAATTCATAACAAGCATATTCATAGAGCAGGGGTCTGGACTCTATGACCTTCTGAAGTCTCTTCCAGCTCTATGGTTCTATGATTCTACAAAGCATATGGAATATGATATCAATAACAATTTAACAAGTATAAAGCAGTAGCAGCACTAACAGCAGAATATTTCACTGTAGCAAAGGAAATAACCCAGACAGTCAGATATTTTGACTCAGAAGTTTATATAGAAAATAAAGTACAATAACATTCTAACAAAATTTCTTTGTTCACTGGCAGACTATCCAGCAGAGGGTAAAAGAAATGAGCAGCAGAAAGGAGTCTAATAGTGATCACAAAGTAAACATCAAATAGAAAAACATAAAGCCCTGTCAATTTAATAATAGGAACATGACAAGACTCAGAAGGCTGAAGCTGGACATAGACTTATGACAAGTGTGTGATCTGCCAGAAAGATGCTGCAGATATTTTTATCAACATTAAGCCAGAAAGAGTGACACATTAGCCTGATGACAGAGCACTGCACTCAGAACTTGATACTGCTTCTATTTACATATACCAAAATGGCACAAACTGCAAAACGCAATGGACCATAAGAAAGCTACATTTAAAATGCCGGTTGACTTTCACAGAAAATGGAAAGGAAGGGTTAGACAAGTCAAGAACAGTTCTCTTTGCATTCTCACTCATATCAATGGGAGGCTTACACAAATATCAAAGAATATGGCCTGTATGTAGTAATAGAACTGAATTTTTTGTACCAAGAGGAATATAAGGAGCCTCTGGATTTGTTGTAAGCATATGGCTTAAATTCCATTTTAGATGTTTCTGGAGAGAGAGCGAGAGAGAGAGAGAGAGAGAGCTTATTTTGCTTCTTATATTTCAAATCACAACCATTTTCTTTATTCTCTTTCTAAACAATCTTTCCTCATTGAATTTTCCTCAGCCTAACAGCTCTTTGTCTTATATATTTTCAAATCAGCTATGGAGCCAAAAACACTGTCTGTCACTGCATTTGCAGATGATTGATGGGACCTGTTTCTTTTAGGATTTTTACAATTTATTTATGCAGTTTGTTGCTGTTTGTATTAGTGATGTAATAGTGTAGTCGATTAACTGATAAGCAAAAACCAAGGTGGTGTTTTCTGAAGAGTGACTAGAAGCTTGGAAGATGCCAGATATCTTCTTTTTAGTAACTTAAACACAGAGTGGACATTTTCTTACCCCTTCAGGAATGTGCCAGATTGGCTAAGTTTTGTCTCATCTTCTGAGTGGGCTACAGTTCACTATCATCCTTTGGTAGTTAGAGGTGGGCTTCACATGGAGAGTGGGCTGCCTGGTGCACACACTGTGGTTATTGTACAGATTGAACCTCTGGTCTGGTATCATCCATGATCTGGAACATAGGTATTGAGCACCTACAGGAAAAAATCAGTGTGGAGCACCCACCAGTGCCAAGCTCCTCTCTGAATATCCTACCCACATGCTGGCAGCCTTGCACTTACCAACACCTCCACTTCTGGAGCTCTGTGACCCCTCTTTATCCCTGTCCACACCTTCACTGCCCCAGACTGGGACCACAGCTGGGGTTGGCTGCAGAGGCTTGTGGCCAGTGACGGACCCTGGACAAGGGGCCCCACAAGCTCAAAGGCTGGGAGTGCGATAGCATGCCCCACCTGCATCCCTATTTCCCACCCCTCTGGAGACCCACTTGCAATCTGTATTGACCTCCTGGGGTTTGGCAAATTCTCTGGTTTGGTACCAGCCAGGTTCCAACAGTGCCACACTAAAGCTTCAATCTGTACTATGCATAAAACCCCCTGATTCCAAAGGTGTTGGCAAAGAACTACAGAATGAATTTCCTGCCTGTAACTTCCCTACTTTATTAGGGCCAGATATGTTTAAGAGAAATTTGTCTTGAACAGAAGGACCAAGAACAGTTGAATTCATGCCCATTCTGGTCTGAACCAGAGCAATGGCACCATTCATTCTCTTGTGTTTCAGCTTATGTAGAGCCCCCGCTGCCAATTGCCACCTAGGAGACAGGGTTTGGGTTAACGGAGCCACTGCTATTTTGGCAGCCAGCCATCTTTGGTGCCTCTTTGGCCAGAGATGGGAAAATTCAGCCTCTCATTTTAACTCAGAAAAGCTACTAACAGTGTTTTCTCAAAGGGCATCATATTTTTGAGGTATTTGTGAAGAATAATCCCTGACGGTGTGTCCTTGAAAGAGATTTGCTAAAAGCATTTAGTTTTCACTGCTCTTTCTCTCAGACCACATCTTCACTTGCCACGTCAGAGATCAGTCTTCTGGTGTTTGATTTAGTCAAGTTAAGACCCACTAAATTAAAAGTGGAGTAAGGGAAGCTGATGGCTCTGCATTTAAAAGGCAGTAGGAGCCAGGCAGGCAGGCAGCCCAGCTTAATCCCTGCTCGTGCTGGGTCTGGTACCAAACCCCACCGCAACTCTGCAATTTAAAATGCAGTAGGAGTCAAGGGGCAGGCTGCCCAGCTCCTACTGTATTTTAAATTGCAGAGCTGCATTGGGGTTTGGTGCCTGCACAAGCTGGGACTGAGCCAGCTGCTTTCCCCTATGGACTAATCGAGTAGTTGATAAAAAATTCTATTGACTACTTGAATAGTAAAATAACCACATTTTAACATCCCTAATCCAGAGGGCTACCACTGACTAACAGCTCTGTCTCATCCAGATAATATTCTAACAGTTTTGTCACTAAAACAAGCTGTTTGTAACTTTATGTATTTTTTTCATTGGACCAAAATTCTTTTGGTGGAGTTACAGGAAGGAGTGCAAAGTTTGACATGCTACCAGTGTTCCCTGGTAGCTGCCTGGCAGCACAGCTTTACAGGTGATTTATTAGCCCTGCTCAGTCAGACAGCTCAGTGCACCCAGCCCTGAGCCTCTGACTGGGCGAGACTGATTTATCACCTGTGAAGCTGTGCTGCTGTGCAACTTAGGCTAGGTCTACAGTGCAGAGTTTTTGTGAAAATATGTCAGTTTTCCCACAAAAACTCACGGAATGCCCACACCTAAAGTTCGTTTTTGCACAAGTAAAATGAAAGAACAGAGGAGGTTTTGCGGTATAGGTATTCCTCCTCCTATGAGAAGTAACTCCTTTTTCGCAAGAGCAAAAAAGGTGTCTATGGACAGGGAACAGGGTTTTATTGTGCAAAAAGAGGCAATCGAAAAAAGCACAGGTGCCTTGGTGGCCATTCCGTAATTAGCAATCAGTTTTCTTTCGAGAGAGTGTCCATGCAATGTGGACGCTCTCTTGTGCAAAAGCACATCGCTTTTTCAATGCACTTTTGCAGTGTGGGTGCGCCCTTGCACAAGAAGTTTTTTGCAGAACATCTCTTCTGCAAAAATATTCTTGTGCAAGAAGCCTTTAGTGTAGTCATATCCTCAGAGGTGTAGACACCATTTCATATTTAGCTAGAAGCCATTCTGTATAACAAAAGCCATTTCAGTTTCTTGTGTCTGCACGAGGGAGTGAACTGGCCTTCACCGAGGTGGGGAGAGACCAGAGGGATGCTCTGTTGGAATGTGTTAATGAACTATTTTGAGCTTAAGCTCAAACTCCCTTTTAACCTGTTTCTTTCTATGCTGATAATAATTCCTCTTTGAAGTTCTCTTTGATTTCTTGCCCTGACGTCAGACTTGTTTGGTTAAGGGTATAAAATACTAGGATTGATTGTATTAGCCAGCCTTACTGGGCCTGACTTTGCTGGGACCACGTTTGGCTCACTTTGCTTTTATTGGCCAATAAAACTGTCTGTTTAGCCGCGTAAACCGAGTGAGGCGTTTGCTTCGACAATTTGGAGGTCCCACCGAGATTCCTAACGTGCCACTTGCCCGTATGGACGGACTGGCACTCCACTTCCAAACCTCTCAGAGCGCTCAAGAGAAGGTAAAGGGGATACCTGTTACAAAATCTCCTGGTTGAGGGCTTGGGATTTGGAGTGACGGCCGGCCGTTGGGGTAAGGGGAGCTACGGAATTCAATTTTGTGGAGCGGCTAACATTTTTGTTTGTCTGTGTCTGTCTTTGTCTATTAGGCCTGTCTTATGTGTCACAGTTCCAAAAGGGCACACCGGTGTCTCTAGTGAGGCAGCCATGCGCTGGACCCTCTGTGTTCGGACGCTAAAAGCTGGTGTGGTGCCATTACTCTCTCTCGGCACACGGAACTGTGGGGAAGCTTTGTTGTCTCTCTCTGTTATTTGTGGGTGTAGTACTGACCTCTGAGGCTAACCCCAGGCCATAGTGCCCCATTCCGCCAGGCTGTCTCCAGGCGCCAGGACGTGGTGTTCTGCCGGGCTGGGGCAGGTGCCGGAAACCCCTGCGAGGCAGGTGGACCTTGAGTCCAGTGCTTCGCAACAAAAAGGGGGGGGACCAGTGCGAGCAGGTGAATTCTTGATTCGGTGACAACTACCGTTACTCCTCATTCCACGAGGAGTAACGGTAGTTCGAACTAGGAAGCCTAGTCCGAATTACCTAGTTCATGCCGCGTGTAGCCGCGCGGCACGGGGTTCGAACCAGCCGGGATTTAAAAATGGCGGCGTCCGGCTTATGCAAATGAAGCCCGGGAAATTCAAATCCCGGGCTTCATTTGCAATTGCTGTATGCCTACATTACCCTCCTATTTCGAAATAGGAGGGTAGTGTAGACATACCCTAAGGTGCTGCAAGACTATTCGTTGTTTTTTGAAGATTTTTCAGTTAGGGTAGGTCTACATTAGCCCCCTAGTTCGAACTAGGGAGGCTAATGTAGGCATTCGAAGTTGCAAATCAAGCCTGGGATTTAAATATCCCGCACATGTAATGAGTGAAGTATGAATGCCGCCACATAAGTCTGAGACTTGAGTTGATCCCAGCTGCACCAGGGCTCTCCCACGAGTGAGCTCTGAATGCAAGGGGGGAGTCGGCTGAACCTTGAGACTCAATGAATATGTGAGGGAGTGACGACTCCCCTTATTTCATGAGCTGCTATGGTCTGACACTCTAGACCTGGCAGACTCTTTCTTTGGAGTGTGTAAAGTTAGTTTAGGTGGGGGTTAGTCTAAACATCCCCCCACACTGCCGAAAGGCACCCCTGTGTACTACATGTACGTGCATAATGGTCCAAGGACCTGTAAGCATTTAACAGATTGGAAAAGAGGAAAAATTAAAGCCCTGAGAGATGAAAGTAAAGCTCAGAAAAGACAAACCATAAGAAGGAATAAGGAAAGTAGAAATACAGACATTAGAAAGTTACTAGGAATGAGGAATGTTTTCTTTAGAAGGACGAAGCAAGTGATTAAAGGGTATGTGAAGGTGAGAAGTGACTGCATGGGAGAGTGGACGGAATTAAGCGATTGTTGTTATATATGAAGGGAAACCTGCTTTAAGAAATGACTCCTTGTTTCTTCTCGTCTCTTTTAGTCATCTCAGCAAAGAAACAGTCAAGTTAAACATTTGGCTACAGACACTTTGTTAAATCTTTTAAAGGAAAAATAAGGAATTCTACTGAAACTTAATTGGTTAACTGCATAAAAGAATAAAATCTATACATTGTAAATTTGTAAAACCTGCATCCTAAGGGTTAAATGTGTCTTCCAAGAAAACTAATTATTGTTTTAAAAAAATCCAAGCCCAGAAACTTCACTGTGTTTCTGTTCAAGGCTGAGTTGATAGCACTTTTGGCTTGCTTTCAGATCCAAGGTTGTGTGTGTCTGCAAACTGCCTGTCTGTTGCGGAAGGGGGGGGCACTGTCCCCCATAAGTAAGTCTGTAACATTGCATGTGATTTTCATCAGGAAAGAAAAACCTTTTTGCTTGCTGGAATAGTAACTAGCAAGCACCTTGTTCTAAGAGTTTCTGTAGCAGTAAAGAAAAAGCCTGGTCTGCAGTACAAGAGGAAAACTGAGGCATGCCACTGTTGGAGAGGGCTAGCATCTCTGAGGTAATTCAAGGGACTGGAAGGTCATGAGTACCAATGAAGCGCTCTTGTTCTCAGAAAGTTGCAGCTCACTCACCCATAGAAGTGGTAAGGAACTAGCTGTAACCAGTTCTCCTAACAGATCTTAGGCAGTATTTTAAGTTATAATGGGCCACCCCAGTGGGGGTACAAGTGTTTTCTTTGTCTTTCAGATCATCAAATAGCGCTAATATCAGCTGAAAATTAACTGGAAAAAAATCATAGTTCTGTCTCATGACATAATAAGTTTGTGTTCTGTCCAGATTTGTCTGGTAGGTCTTGATTTTGATATATGTATTTCAAACATTGTTGTGTGTACAATATTGTTGTTTTAATGAAAAAAAATGTAAGTCCCTTGAATAATCTTAACTTTGTGCTTTACACAGATGGTTCTTGCTTTTATAATTCTAGTGGAGTTTTAGTAGCAGGCTATGCAAGTTGTACTGTCTGGGATGTAGTAGAATCTGCCCCTTTACCTGCTGTTTCTTCCGCACAGGTAGCGGAATTAATAGCTCTCACAAGAGCTTGTCATATTGCTGCAGGAGCATCTGCTACTATCTACACTGACTCCCAGTATACTTTTGGCGTAGTTCATGATTTTGGTATGCTTTGGAAGCAACGAGGTTTCCTTACTTCCCCTAGCCACTCTAGAAAGAATGGACCTTATGTAGCTGCTTTACTTGATGCAGTTCTTTTACCTTCGGCTCTTGCTATTGTTAAGTGTGTAGCTCATTCCTCTTCCTCTAATGAAGTTGCATTAGGAAATGACATAGCTGATCGGGCTGCTAAGGCAGCCGCCCTGTCCTCCACGGGCTGAAGCATTGTACCCTTCTCTCCCACCACCGCCAGCTCCTTTGCCATCTCTGTCAGAACTGGCCCTCCTGCGAGACCAAGCCCCAGAATCGGAAAAGCAGGAGTGGAGACTGGCAGGGTGCACCTTGCTCCCAGACCATTTGTGGCGCAGCTCCGACGGCCGCATTGTTGCCCCAGTGGTATTGCTACCTCACCTTGCCTCCATGCTCCATGGATTGTCGCATGTTGGCAAAGGGGGGATGGTAGCAATCCTTAAAAAAAAATTGGTTTGCTCCCAAATTCTCCCAAGCAGCCGAAGATTACTGTCTGGCTTTCCCTGTCTGCCAAGCCTACAACATAGGTAAACCTGTAAAGACAGTTCCAGCAACCAGACCTCCACCTTTGGGACCATTTCTGAATTTACAAATGGACTTTATTCAATTGCCTAAATGTCAATCCTTTGAATATGTGCTGGTTATTGTTTGTTTGTTTTCGGGATGGGTAGAAGCTTATCCCTGCAGGAAAGCGGATGCCATCACAGTAGCTAAGAAACTTCTAAATCATTACATCCCATCATGGGGAATACCCCTGGTGATCTCCAGTGATAGAGGTACCCACTT